TCCGACACACCTCCAAGAGTCCTCAAGACGGATCCACGTGCCCTTCGAGCCCTCCACGGCGCCCTCCAAGAAGCCAAAACCCTTCAAAAGCCTAAGGAAAGTCAATGTGTTTGGCATTCTCGTCTTTTCGCTTCCGATGGGCCCCTGAGGCATCAAGATGGCCCCAAGATGGCCCAAGAGAGCCCCAAGAGGGGCCCAAGAAGGCCCAAGACGGCCCCAAGATCGCCCAAGAGGCTTCCAAAGAGCGCTCCAACACGTCCCCAAGACGCCGTTTGAGAGCCTCCGAGGGGGGGACCTGAACTGAGGACCCCCGCTCTTTTTGAACAATGGGGCCCAAGACGGGCCCGAGAGGCCTCCCAGCCTCTCCTGAAGATTCTCCACCCCGCCCTTTTTGGCCCAAGATGGCTCCAAGAGAGCCCTAGATAGCCCAAGATGGCCTCCAAAATGGCCCAAGATAGCCAAGCATGGCTCAAGATAGAGCCTCCGACAGATCTCCAAGAGGCCTCAAGACAGCCTGAATATGGCCCAACATAGCCGAGCATGGCTCAGAATAGCTTCCGACAGCCTCTAGCCGAGCATGGCTCAGGATAGCCTCCAAGAGGCCTCGGGAAAGCTGGCAATCAATTCTGGACGGGCCGGTGGGGATACGCGAAGCGTCAAGAATTGAGAGGAAAGTCGGCGGCCGCATGCTGGAGGACGGGATGCTGACCTGGTAGAGGCTGGGAGTCCCGCGAGCGAAGCGGCAACACGATATTGAATGAGAGATGTGGCCGGCGCCCCTTCAGAAGGCAGCGGAGAAGCAAGACAGCGAACTACAGGAGAGAGAGGAGCAGGAGGAGGAAGAGCAAGAGGAAGCCTGGTCGTAGGCCCGTGGTGGGGTCTTCTTGGACCGTCCAGGAGTCTCGTGGGTTCTTCAGGTGAGCTGGTGATAGCAGTCTGGGGTCTGGGGTATGTTTTAGTTCTCGCGAGTGTTCCGTGGGCTTCTGAGACGGAAGGAGAACTGCGCATCAAATTGTGGTTCTCCAGACCCTGGAAGCCTGTCTTGGGATCTCTTTGGGGCCCCCGAGGTGTGTCTTGTGGCGCCTTGGTGTCTTTGGGGAGCTTGGATATGAGTCTCAGATCTGGGGCCCTTCAGAAGGCAGCGCAGAAGGAAGACAGCGAACTACAGGAGAGAGAGGAGCAGGAGGAGGAAGAGCAAGAGGAAGCCTTGTCGTAGGCCCGTGGTGGGGTCTTCTTGGGCCGTCCAGGAGTCTCGTGGGTTCTTCAGGGGAGCTGGTGATAGCAGTCTGGGGTCTGGGGTATGTTTTAGTTCTCGCGAGTGTTCCGTGGGCTTCTGAGACGGAAGGAGAACTACGCATCAAATTGTGGTTCCCCAGACCTTGGAAGCCTGTCGTGGGATCTCTTTGGGGCCCCCGAGGTGTGTCTTGTGGCGCCTTGGTGTCTTTGGGGAGCTTGGATATGAGTCTCAGATCTGGGGCCCTTCAGAAGGCAGCGCAGAAGGAAGACAGCGAACTACAGGAGAGAGAGGAGCAGGAGGAGGAACAGCAAGAGGAAGCCTTGTCGTAGGCCCGTGGTTGGGTCTTCTTGGACCGTCCAGGAGTCTCGTGGGTTCTTCAGGGGAGCTGGTGATAGCAGTCTGGGGTCTGGGGTATGTTTTAGTTCTCGCGAGTGTTCCGTGGGCTTCTGAGACGGAAGGAGAACTACGCATCAAATTGTGGTTCCCCAGACCCTGGAAGCCTGTCGTGGGATCTCTTTGGGGCCCCCGAGGTGTGTCCTGTGGCGCCTTGGTGTCTTTGGGGAGCTTGGATATGAGTCTCAGATCTGGGGCCCTTCAGAAGGCAGCGGAGAAGGAAGACAGCGAACTACAGGAGAGAGAGGAGCAGGAGGAGGAAGAGCAAGAGGAAGCCTTGTCGTAGGCCCGTGGTGGGGTCTTCTTGGACCGTCCAGGAGTCTCGTGGGTTCTTCAGGGGAGCTGGTGATAGCAGTCTGGGGTCTGGGGTATGTTTTAGTTCTCCCGAGTGTTCCGTGGGCTCCTGAGACGAAAGGAGAACTGCGCATCAAATTGTGGTTCCCCGGACCCTGGAAGCCTGTCGTGGGATCTCTTTGGGGCCCCCGAGGTGTGTCTTGTGGCGCCTTGGTGTCTTTGGTGAGCTTGGATATGAGTCTCAGATCTGGGGCCCTTCAGAAGGCAGCGGAGAAGGAAGACAGCGAACTACAGGAGAGAGAGGAGCAGGAGGAGGAAGAGCAAGAGGAAGCCTTGTCGTAGGCCCGTGGTGGGGTCTTCTTGGACCGTCCAGGAGTCTCGTGGGTTCTTCAGGGGAGCTGGTGATAGCAGTCTGGGGTCTGGGGTATGTTTTAGTTCTCGCGAGTGTTCCGTGGGCTCCTGAGACGAAAGGAGAACTGCGCATCAAATTGTGGTTCCCCGGACCCTGGAAGCCTGTCGTGGGCCCTCTTCGGAGCCCCCTTGGTCTGTCTTGGCACCCCTGGTTGCTTTGGGGGAGCTTGTGATAAGAGTATGTGGTCTGGGGCTTTTGACGAGGCAGCGGAGGAGGAAGACAACGAACTACAGGAGGAGCAAGAGGAGCAGGAGGATAAAGAGCCGGAGGAGGAGGAGCAGCAGAAGGAGGTTGGGAGGAGATTTCCGAAGAGTTGGTGTCGAGAGTTAGGTTGGAACCTTCTTGGACTTTCTTGGGGATGTCTTCAGAGCCTCGAAGGAGGAGATTTCCGAAGAGTTGGTGTCGAGAGTTAGGTTGGAACCTTCTTGGACTTTCTTGGGGATGTCTTCAGAGCCTCGAAGGAGCAGCTGGAGGAGGATCAGGAGAAAACCTCCTGAGAAAATGAGTATCAGTTTTCGTATCCCGGAGTCGGTGGAGGCAAATGAGGAGAGGGCGATGGAGGAGGAGGAGGAGGACGAGGAGGAGGAGGAAGGCGACGAGTTCGAGGGAAGAAGGAGGTTGAGGAGGGGATGAGGGGCAGAGAGGGGGAAACGGAGGAGGAGGAGGTAGAGAAGGACGAGAGATGGGCTGTCGGACGTCCGAGTAGGTCATGCCGAGAGTTATCTTGGAACCCTCTTGGGCTCTAGTGGGGATGTCTGCAGGGCCTCATGTGCCGTCTTGGGGCGAGGTTGAGAAGAACTAGGGGCGATGGGGGGGGCCGCTCAGGTCAATCAGAGTGTAAAGAATTTGACGGCTCTAAGACTGAGTGGAGCTCCTGTTGGTGCTTTTG